CCCAGGAGCGGCTCCTGCCCTTTCCCCCGGCAGCGCTTTGTGCCGGGAGAGCAAATTGCTGAAATATCTGGGTTTGGTGGTGGTGGTGGTATTACTATTTCGCCCCTCGTGTTGGGGCTGGAAGCGTCTCCCTCCTAAGCAGGGAGAGCTGGAGGCAGTTACAGGAAAGTTGGTGTCTTTTTGTTTTTAATTATTCGGTCTCCTGCAGAAATACGAAGCACGCTGATAACGGGGGCGTGAGGTGGGGGCAGAGCTCGTGTTTACCCGAGAGGTGCCCTGGGGTTGGACGAGCCGCTCGGTTTCACTCTGGCTGGTGCTTGTAGCAAGCGGCTCCGTCAGGGTTTCCCCGCGCGGAGACACTTTGTCACCACCGCGGTGTGTTTCGGCTGTCGTGTGTCGCCTTTCTCGTCCCGGTCACAAGTAGCGCAGTGCGTGCGTCTCAAACAGGAAAGCGCAGAGCTGTTCCCAGAACAGGTCCGACACCTCGCGCTGCTTTAACTTGCCTCTCAAACTGGCTAGACTTAAAAGGGACGTGTCTCTTTTAAATAATATGAAAATCCCAGTGTCTTGATATACAGAGATATCATATTTGTTAGAAGGAAAAAGGGATAGGTGTTTGTGTGTGTTTGTAATCACAAGGCAGAATTGCGAAGTACCTTTGTAGCCATGAGAATTGTATGTGGGAACAGAAGAAAGTTGATTAAACATAACGCTTAAGCATGTTTAATGTAAACCTCGCCTCAGTCTGGCTGAGGTGTTTGGAATTGTTTAATTGCCTGTGTTATTTATATCGTCTCATGTGTAGCCTCTTAAGTGCTAACTTCAAATAGTAAACAGAAATCAAGGCAGTTGATCTGGGTTGAACTCTAAAACTCTCTTCTCCCCAGCGCACACATTCCCCGAAAGGTCTGCCAGAGCAATTACAAAAACAAGTGCTATTTAACCACGTTTCCTCTTGTGTTTTTGTATTGTAGGGAGAAATAAAGTGAAAATAATGGGAAAATAATTGAAGTGCTTTAAAATAATGCCTCCTGAGAAGCTGTTGGTCAACACAGATAGAAAAATGTGTAAATACCAAGTTTCAACTTGCATTTAATGCTTAACTGGGCTGTAATAAATTTTAATTTTATCTACTGGAGATCTGCTGCAGTTCTAGCTGCAAACAGCATCACAGTTCTGTCTGCAAGCAGCTTCACGCCCTTTGGCTGACGTGTTCCAGTTGTGTTTGGCGCGCAGCGTGCGGTGCGAGTGGCCACAAGGCTCCCTGCACCTGCCACCTGCAGCCTGCTGCCTCGAAACGGCCTGAGCACCTTTACCTGGTGCTGGCAGAGCTGCAGGAGCCTCTACTTTTCCTAAATTAAATAAGCACCGGTGGCTGCTTGGTTACACTAACCTAATCTCCCCAAAGTCTCTGGCTTTTTTATGACAAGATGGGTTTCTAAGCTGCACTAGGGCATCAAAGTGGGACTTGTAGATAGGCCGTAATACTAAAATATTTTAAATGTCTTCATATGTCTTTGTCTTTTGTTTGCAGTTTGTAGTCAAAGGTAATAGGTTTCTTCAGGGTGTTTTCTTTTCTTAAACCAATTGATAGGTCAAAAGGTTCTTGATGGGCCCAATCTGCACAAGGAAAACTTATCAGATCGTGGTTCAATCGTAGGATCGATCATGAGACAGGATGCTGAGCACCATTTGGTGGTTGGTGCAGGTCAGGGTGTTGTTGGTCCTCTGTATCACATTGAGGGTTTTTTTTGTTTCTTTGCTTTTTGTAAATCTGTTAAGTTAACGGTGTAGAATGGGTTTCAGTGTGCATGTTATGAACTCAATTCTTAGAGCTTCCAAGACAAAGATGAACAACTAAAGTTTTTTTTACGAAATGAGCATACATTAGCTTTTGAAATAAAAAAACTGTTTCTGCATACAGCTGACCTCTGCAGCTATAAGATTATACTCTTGCTATGCAAATTAAAATAACTTGAAGTGCTAATCAAAACTCTTTAGAATATTAGAGTTACACTTTAAGGTAAAATTTTCACTTTAATGATAATTCTTTCATCTTGAAAGAATTTTTGGCTCTTGTAAGTACAACAGCATTACTTCAAAAATGTTTCTACACTAATCAGTGTGTTTCTGTCTCTTCCTCCTCTGAATTTTAAGGGCTTCACCTTTTGCGTGTCAAATGGACATTAAGCACCAGTGAGAGTTAACGGCGGAGCTCTAAGCACAGCGCCTGCTGGGATGTTGCGGCAGAACGGCGGGAGTAACAAGCGTGGTTTGGGATTAGCCCGGCTGTCTACCTCCAACTTCTTCACCATCTCTAATTCAGGAAATTGGGGAATGGGGCGCAGCACCAAGAGCAGCTCTCTGAGCAGCATTAGCTCCAACTCTGACTGCTACGATAATCCTGCTGTGGATCCCGAATACATCATGCAACTGGTGAATGATGTCAGGAAGTTTGCAGATGTGCTGCTCTGCTTGAAAGAAGCCATTCTTTCAGAAGGTTTGTCAGTTGTTTCTTATCCTAAAATTTCCTCTGAAGAAAGAAATTCTGAAACTTCTGCAATTCTGTCTATATCTTTTTAAACTAGTCTGTACCATGACTGTTGCACCAGTAACTCCTTTCCTCCTCTTCCCCCCACCCATGCTTGCGAGGTGATTACAGGAAACTGTGTTGTGGGTTTTTTGTTGGTTGGTTTTTTTTTTTTTTTTGTTTTGTTTTGTTTTTTGTTTTTTGTTTGGTGCCTATATTTCCTCGTCCAAACACTGTGCAGTCTGTTACTATATAATGCTTTAGGGTACATAGTACGTAAAAGGAGCAGGGAGAGTAGGTGTTCAGCAGTCTGCCTAGGCTGGCACTTGAAGTTGGTGAGGTTGTCAGCTGATTGTGTTTTCAACCATCTGATTGTGTTGTGTAATGCCAAAGAGTTCTGTTAACATGTTGATCACGCTTTCATTTCCTGGACTAGTAAAACTCTGTGGGTTTTCTGTTTCCGTTTGTTTTGTTTTTTGAAATGTTCGTATGTCAATAGTTTGAACTTTAGTTTTAAAGGAATGAGTGCTTAAGTAGAACACAACACTACTGTCAGTGCTTTCTTCCTCTACAGAAGAAGTATTTACCATCTTCTGCCAGCAGGTGGAAACTGCATTTATTTTATTTTATTTTTTCTCCTTAGAAGTGTGTCTTACTGAACCTTCTATTAGGGAAATGATATTAGTCTATTTTTGATCATGAACAGGAAAACTGTTTTAACATAGAAATATGGCTGAATAGTTAATGGCTGAACTAACACATAGAGCAGCTTTGTATAAGATATCCTATTACTTAGCATTTGCTGGCACTGCTGTATTCACAGCTGTAGCTTTTCTTGCCCCTACTGTGCCTCACTGTTATCAATGCCCATTTTCTCTTGAGTTCAGTTCTGACCTACTAATGAGAAAATTCAAGGATGCAGGTGAGCAGAAATCTCACTCTTGAGGAGGGAGATCATACTGTAGATCCCTCTGCAGTTCAGGAACAAGGAGTTTGCTGTGACAGGTCCCTCTCTCTTTGTGTACTGGGTCAATATAATGGTCATTACCTCTAACTATAATGTGTATTTAGGATTGCTGCTTTGTTCACTGGCAGGGTTAAAAGCTTTAGCAGTAATGAGCAGAGTTGGGCTATGATTTTAGTCTCTTTTTGGTGGCTCTATAAAGAGCAGAAGATCAGGGAGTGAATGGATTTGGTGCTTTGTGAACCTCAGATGCTTGAGTTTGCATTCAGGCTGAAATGGCTGCACTGAAGGTGTGACTGGATCCCCATGTGATAGGATTGGAGCATCTATCTTATGAGGAAAGACTAAGTGAGCTGGGCCTGTTTAGCCTAGAGAAGAGAAGACTGAGAGGAGATCTGATCAATATCTACAAGTACTTGAGGGGAGAATGTAGGGAGGATGGGGCCAAATTCTTCTCTGTGGTGGCTGGTCACAGGACAAGGGGTAATGAGTACAAGCTGAAACACAGGAAGTTCCTCCTCCATGTAAGGAAGAACTTCTTTCCTGTGAGGGTGACAGAGCCCTGGCACAGGCTGCCCAGAGAGGTTGTGGAGTCTCCTTCTCTGGAAATCTTCAAAAACCCACCTGGATGCCACCCTGTGCCATGTGCTCTGGGTGTCCCTGCTGGAGCAGGGAGGTTGGACTAGGTGATGGTTAGAGGTTCCTTCCAACCTTAAGCATTCTGTGACTGATGTCAATTCTGTCCAAAGTGTTTTTTGCTGAACTTGCCAGATGAGCTCATCAGCTTGTGCGATGAAGTGTCTGGTGCCTGCTTACTGATGCTGCAATAAGTGCCCTGTGGGAAGGGACTGCCAAGATACTAATGTGTTTCAGCAGTCACCCAGCAATTCTTAATTAATGCTGAGTTTTATGTTTGAGACTCAGAAGAAGGGAGAAACTAACACAAAAGAGAGAAGTCGGATTTTATTTTTTTATTTATTTAACATCACATTGTGGATTTGCTTTGGGAAACAATGCTGTCTGTTTAAAGAACTTTTAATCTTATAAAGGAGAAATGTTTACTTCCTTTTATAAGAAGTGTTCTTTGACCACAATAGTGGTTTCTATAGTCTTGGATTGCTGATTGGAGGGGACATCTTTGAAGCTGAATACTTTGAATTGCTTCTCTTCATTTTATTTATCTTTAGAAACTTCTATAGTTATATGTTCAGAAACCATAGCAAGCTTTTACTAATTTTTGGACAAACTTTTTAAAATTCTGAACTTGTACTAATTGCAGTTTACGGCCATTATGGAATTAGTTATGTGATTTATTCCAGAGTGGAATCACTTAAAAGAATAGAAAATACCTTTGTTTTGTTTTTGAACAGCGATACTCAAGTGACTTGAGGCAGTTTTTGAGTAGTAAAACTGCTGTACAACTCGTAAAATGTTTCCTGTACCTAGTAGCAAAACTTATTTATTTTATTTTGCTTATATACTGCATCATGCTTCCTCGGGCAGTTCAGCAGTGACGAATGTAAGTGATACAGCAGGGTTGCATCAGCAAGTGTTGTGCATGCCTGGCAAGTGCTCCTGGCATTTGAAAATTCCTGTCTAATGCACAGCAACTTTGCTCTCGACCACGTGGCTCAGCTTGCTACACATTGTTCCTTGTTCGCTAGGACTCACTGTTCCACTGCTCACATCTGTACCTAAAGTTTAGCTGATTGCAGGAAGGTGCCGGCCTCGAATTTTCCAATTGGCTGATTGTTGTATTCCCTGTTTGCTCAGGTGTATTCCAACACACCTGAGCTGTGTTGGGAGTGTCTAGCACTTACTCTCTTACATTTCATCCAGTATCTTCCTAAAGATCCTGTAGTGATAGTGTCTTGAGTGAACAGCTTAAGCCTCTTTGGATTGTAGCATGTATTTATGTCAGAACTAGATCACAAGTTCTGTCTTTTGCATTATAGACTTGTATAGTTTTACATGGGTCTAATGTATGTTGATAAATAACCTGAGCTGAGATCTCTCTTAAGAAAGAAGGTTGTATAACTGATATTGTTAACCTGTGCACTGACTTTTCTCTTTGAGTTACTTGTATTAGTACTACTGTAATTTCTTTAAATTTCATTATAATGTTGCTGAAATTTGAGTGTTAAACAGGATAGCTTATTACACTGTTTTTATCTCTGTTTTGAGTTGAGTCTGTATTAATTTGGGGCTTTCACCTAGCAATGATTGCTATATAAACTGAAATCTAAAGTATTTGCAATCTGCTTGCTAGCACCAAAGAAGAAACTTGCTTCTGAACAGTGGTATTTCATTTTTTGTTTAAAGGCAATAGATCTCTCTCAATACAGTTATGGGATTGAATAGTTTGTCAAGTATTGGGACACGAGGGAACTGCAGTTGCTTCTTATGTTGAGTGAAATACCATGTGTTCCTTGCACTTCACTGCCTGATGTCCATTTTGTAAATTCCCTTCGGGCTCCAGGCTTTGTAGTCACTGAACATCATTATGATTTGTTTTTAGAGGCCCATCTTGAGATACAGGACCAGGATACAGGAAGTAGTCTGGAGACTAGAGCTGTGATCTTCAGAGGGGTGACAACATGAGAAGAGACGTAATTTGCCATGGCAGGGAAAGTTATTTGAAGGGAAAAGTTGTTTGTCTCCCTCAAAAAGCTTCTTAGCCACTCGACCACAGCATGGAAAGTACTTGCTTTGGAATGTGAAATGCCTGGACTGCACTTAAACTAAATATACCTTGATACAGTTACATAATATAACTTACAGGGCTGATGTTTTTCCTAAAAGTATGGGCTTGCTGCGCTCACAAGTAAAGCTTGTTCAATTTTGGGGATGTGTGACTCGTGCATGTACATCTTTTGGAGGAGGATACACAGTGATAACTTATATACTGTACAATCCCTTCAAAATATAAGGGTGCCTGTATCTCATAGAAGTTGCAAAGAAAGTTGGTGAGCCCCTTTTGGGGCTAAAATATATAGGAGATAGGGTTTATAAGCTTCTAGTACAGATTTGCTTTTTTTTTTTTCCTGCGTGCAAAATAGTATTGCATAGATCTGCAGAACTGAGGATCTAAGCAAGAACAAGCATTTTTGAGAGATTGATGCTGTTAGTCTGTTACTACCCATAATAAATTCCAGTGCTGCTTTAAGAAAATGATGGCACTGTGTGGTCATAGCTGAAATGGGATTCATTTCTTTGGTTTAACAGGACCACACAAAAGGATCTTTAGGGCTAAGTTCCTAATTATGAGATTTTTACTTGAAGTGTTTCATTTTTAAACAATAACTGGTTGCTCTTGTATCAAAATGAGGCACAGGGGAAACATTCCTGTTCCCCTGGTTTGAAGTTAGTGAACTCTCGAGCTTTATGGCAGCTGCTGTTTATTTATTTATTTTTTTAAGGAATGTAGTATATGCTTCATGCTGTAAGGTCTGCCCTTGGGTCTGTGGGAAATGCTGTGTTGCATTATGAATAGCTGTAAGGGTGACATTTACATTTGATCTAAAAATGCAAGAGTAATTGCACTTTCTACTTTTATATAGTCTGCTTGATCGTGCTTCAGAGTATATTCAGGAATTATTGCTTGCTTTATCACAAACTTTGAAGTAATCTTCAAAGTGTGGTACTCTGTGCTTCATGTGGGTACTTCTGCATCCTTTTCATGAGTAAAGGCTTTCTTCCTCAAGTTCATTCTATTTGCAAATGATGTAGACTCCAGGTTATTCTGGAATGGTAATGCACTGTTTCTCAAATATGTTGGAAAACAAAATAGAAAAGCTGTTGTGCTTAATCCAACATTTTTCTTTGAGGATCAGATTTTACTGTCTGGTTTCTTTGAGTTTGGGGTGGGGTTTAGGGGTTTTTTTTGTTTATTTGTTTGTTTTCCTATTTTGTTTTTGGTGGTAATGTTACGCCCTGGCCCCCACAGAGTTAAAACTCTGAAGCTGGATGCCCTAGTCAGGAATGTCTGCATCCTCCTTAGAGCAGC